CACCTGAGTCATCCATCCACACTATACCTGAGTCATCCATCCACACTATACCTGAGTCACCCACACTATACCTGAGTCCCCCACACTATACCTCAGTCACCCACACTATACCTGAGTCCCCCACACTATACCTCAGTCACCCACACTATACCTTAGTCATCCACACTATACCTGAGTCATCCACACTATACCTCAGTCACCCACACTATACCTGAGTCACCCACACTATGCCTGAGTCACCCACACTATACCTGAGTCACCCACACTATACCTGAGTCATCCACACTATACCTGAGTCACCCACACTATACCTGAGTCACCCACACTATACCTGAGTCACCCACACTATACTTGAGTCAGCCACACTATACCTGAGTCATTCACACTATACTTGAGTCACCCAATCTCAGCCCAGGGTAATATTAAGTGAGCTATCAATACTTTCTGATAGGCTAAAAATGTAAGATAGATACGTGATGCATACTGTCGGATGAAAGTGTACTTGTTTTCTTCAAAAATGTCTTGACACAATAGAAGTGAAGCCAACATCTAACTGAAACTGGTCACTTCCCGCAGCATTGGTGTGAACTGGTGCCGTGTGAAATGTGTAGCCATAGGATCTGCTATCTCGTCCATGTCCCTGAACAGGGTCCAGCCACCGGCACAAGAGGAGCCTGACTACATCATTAGGTAGGTCTTCAGTTACAATTGGCTTAGAAAGGTAAGTGAGGTGTTGAAAATGTATCTCTAGTATTCTAGTGTGTAGTTACTTTTTCTTGATTTTTTTACAAAGCTGTTTTTCTTTATTATTGCTGACGTCAGTTTTATCATCATGATAGTTTTTGATACTATACAGCTAATTGTTCGCCTTTAAGCACAAGGGGGCTGTCCCAAAAAGTGCTGTTTTGAGAAAATCGAAGGTACAGTTTTTGCCCCTTGTTCAGTTTCTTTAAAAGACAAGGAGAGTTTTCTCTATAACCAAACAAATATACACACCAATGAAACCAAACTTCTCCTATAGGTAGGGCAATGTCCTCTTTTGATGTAGGTCAAGATTTCTGGAAACCTCCGGAATCTGGGTTAGCCTGCTTGTCCTAAAAAGCAACCAATTTTCTTGGAAAGAGGAGAGGGGTCATAATGCCTACACACTTTGTATATATTGTATTTGTCTATTCTGATAGTTTCTCATACTCACCACCCTGTACAAGAAGTTGATATAACTACTTGTTTGCTTTCCGGGGGGGGGGGGGGGGGGGGGGGGTGATTTGGGTACTCATGGACACAATTTAGGAGCTGGGCTGTGACCCTGCCTGTCAGTGCCAATCGGGGCTGACAGGCTGGAACATCCCGACCGAAAAACCGTCTCTTGCATGTAATGATGAAGCGCCTAACCACTACGCCACAGATACTGGTTCAGTGGAACTCGAATTCAATGAAATTGTTGGGCCTAGCCTTCGGTTTCTTTGAATCTGAGTGTTCGTTCTTGCAAATATGAGGTTTTTGTGTAGGCAATGAGCTAGTAATGTGTCTTGTATTCGACTTTCTCAATTAAAAGTAGTTTGGTTTCAGATTAGAGGCATTTTCGTTTCTTTGATCAAACCGAAGAATTGCAGGAAAATTCCAGGAAACTACACTGAACTCTACCAAGCACACACTGTGCAAAAGGGTTGATCTGTTCAAATGCATGCCTGTGCTGTCTATCATCTGTAATGTATTGTTTTCCAAGTGGCGTCTGTAGCCTAGTGGTTAGGCTACCGGACTTGTAATCATGAGACTGCGGGTTCGGGGGTTCGAGCCTCAGCTCGGTCCGACGTTGTGTCCTTGGGAAAGGCACTTTACACGAACTTCCCACTTGGATCGGTCCTATCAGAGACGGACGTTAAACTAGGAGGTCCCGCCCCTTAAATAACCTAATAGTGTTGATAGGGGCGTTAAACCCATACCATTTCACCATTTGTTTGTTGTTGTTTTCCAAACAAGTTATGTTGCTGTGTAGAGCCAAGCTTACGGTGTTTGACTCCACAGTCCGGCGCACAATTCATTATGTAGATCTATGTCAAGATTAGCTTATCATTGTTCTATTGATCGGTAGCCGGGGAAAAAAATGACTGTCATATTTGTATCTGTACGGGTGTTCCTTGCCGGCACAGTTTGTACCCCATCCCCTCAGACACATGCACACTCAGCCACACGCCACACGTGTGCTGGCCGCCCGTCCGACCCCAACTCACACTAAGACATGGGTGCATGATAACAATGCCTGTATTGGTATGAAAGGAGGCCGCTGATTGATCGCATAAAACTGTTCACGCTGCAAATGACTTCGTTGAATCCGAGCATACTAGTTTATGTATTTGTTGAATCCGAATTATTTTTATTGATTTTTTTAAATTTTAAAAACTGGGAATCCTACTCCTTTCGTTGATTCCGAGTTTGTTGAAACCAAGTTCCTCTACTTGCTTTCCACATTTACCATGTACAAGTTTAATCTTAACCTTAAAAGATAAATAAATTAAATACATATCGTCATATTATATAGGTCTACATGCAAAATTATAGTAGAATTATTGCATGATTTCATTTTTCAGAATCAAACAGCCTAAAATCTGTGGCATCTTTCTGAATAACTGCATGTACAGTCAAACTTATCCAAAATGACCACCCATTATCGAAGAGAAAAGTGGTAATCTTAGACTGGTGAGCCTTTTGAACGGTTTCATAACATAATAATATATTTTTTTGAACGAAAGGGTAAGGGGAGTGGAAAGTAGTCGTTTATAACAAGTGATTGTCTTGGGCATGTGGTCGTTAAAGCAGGCTCAACTGTATTTTTGCAGTTAAGCCAGTAGGCTGCCATACACAGCATGGCCTGAATCTTATATTATTTTTTCTTTGAACAAATGAACTTTTCATAAACATTGAACTGAAGTATAAGAGTAAATTTTTTTTTCATTTTTTCTGTCCCCTTTATATGATTTCAGAACAGACATGAGCAAGCCTTTCAACGACATTCTCGTGGTAACAGTGCCCCCTCTCCCTACTGCGGGTTCAAATATGACCTTCCAGTGCCAAATTGGCAATGGTGAAGGGCCCAATGTGACTCAGGAAAAAGTGGTCAAGTTTTACCAGAAAGTGGAGGTCGTTGGTGGTGAGCTGACTGACTTGGGTGGCGAGGTCAGTTTGTGTTTGGATTTCTCAATTAAGCGTTTTGCTTTCTCTTTTTTGTCTGTGTCTCGTTTGTTGCTGCCTGTTTATTGGCTTTTAAAAATTCTCTTTCAAGTTTTCGTTTTAGTTTCCCTTCTTCCTTTGCTTCTTTAATTCTTTTTTGTTCTTGTTTGAGAGAGATGATTTCATCTGATGTCAGAAGACAATGAGAAGTTATTTGACGTAATGATTTGGGAGTCAAAGTTCTTGGTTCAGACACTGGAATACTGAACAGCTCTGTTAAAGTTGTATTCCAGTCCGCTTCAGTGTGGGTCTCTAAAGTGGTTATTAGCATGTCTTCTGCAGGTTCATTTAGGCTTGATTTAAATTATTTAATGGCACCTTCATTACTTCCCATCATAGGTGTCGGCTGATTTCCTTCCTCCAACCTAGTCACATCAGGTGTAAGTGTACTCCCGTGGATCTCTTCCATAGGTGTATCAGCCTCACCACCCTCAGAAATACCACTTAACTCCATTGCTTGCGACAACAAGTCATGTTTTGTTTCAGGACAGGGCGTAGCTCGTCAATGCTAAATCATACTAAATGGACATAGCCTTTTTTTCAAGTATGCTACGGATAACCATAAACTACTAAATTCTATACTGTCCACAGAGAACACGAATCAGCTGCACCTTCAAGGGATCTCCTCGTCCTATTGTCACGTTCTCCCTGTCCTTCCATAAAGCTTACTACAGCCTGACACCAGCTGATGGGGTGGAAGTCCACGGTGATGAGCTGATGGCGTACAAGACAATTCGTTATGCACGCTATCAAGGCCGTTTGCTGAGTGTTTGGTGTACAGGTCTGCAAGACCTAAATGGCGGGGGACGCGGTTCTGCTCTGGACATGACGGCCTCACATCACATGAACAACAATCTGCCGCACTGATCAGATTTTCATCCCTCAATTGTCTTGCAGTTTGCCTATAGTAACTTAACTTGTCTTCACAAGTTTGGCTATGTTGGGTGGGAACTGATTTCTCTTACAAAATAAAAACAAAAATGTTGAAATATCTTGTTTGCATATTTCTAACTTGTTTTAATTAAGTAATTTGTTAAGATGCGTGGTACTTGCTTCCCAGAATTGGTGTGCAGAAGACAGAACATTGGTGACCACAAAAAAAATTATTATTTAAAACACTTTGAAAGATTGCTCAGTTGGTGTGGATTTGTGGGAGATCCTCTTAACCTGGCCGATCTCAGTGGCGTAAAGCCATGACATGTGGCAATGTTTTTGAGAAAAAGTCTGTAAAGCAGGAGCAGCCAGAGAGGCAAGAAAATCAAGACGGTCAAATCTTGACATCGTCACTGGCCCAACCCACCACAAGTGCTCAGTTTGTGGAAAATTCTTCTAAAAAGAATAGAGCTTGGAGCTGAAAGTCACAAGCATAGTCATAAGAAACAACCATTTGTTTAAGCAGTTGGCACATCTCTTGCAAAGGGAAAAAAGGTTCTGAGGTCTGTGGCAAGCTATGGCGTTTGTGATCACTACAAGTAGCTTCCCATTACATTGTACTTCCTTTCCTTTTTTTGTACCAAGCTAAATACCTGCAATAACAAGCTAGGCCCGCAAGGTCTATAACTTCTCTTCTTCATTGGATATTAACGGTCATCATCATAGCTTATGATAGACAGACTGCAGTGGAGTTCGCTGAAATTGAAACCTGTGGGGTAATTGGATTTTCTTCAATTTAAGTTAAGAGAGAGATTCCTCAAACTCAAATTGTGAAGTAAGAAAAAGTTGTTTTTTTTCTTTCAGTTCACGAGTTTTTGGACTAACCTTGTTAGGTTCAAGCTGACTCCACAGTATTGTTATAATTCCTTGCTCCCACTAGCAGGCTACATGTACCTAGTTCGAGTCAAGATGTGTGGGCATGGTCAGACACAATGACTTTTAACCCCAACCTAAAGCCCAATTGATGCATCAAATCACACAGTGCTGAAGGGGGTTCAGTTGATGAACAGGTACATTGTACGATGTTTGCCTGTCTCAACCTTTAGGTCAGGAGCATTCGATCCCATCCAGCATCGGGTTGCTTTTTTTACACTCCCTGATCTTAGAGCAGGTTAGATTGCACACCTAGTCTTCTCAGATAAGAGCAAAAACTTTAGATCTCGAGTGGAACTTTTGCTCATTAAATTTAAAGATCCTTTGATGGTTCTAAATTTTTTTTTAAGTAGGCCCTTCAGACCCCGATCCATTATAATTCATAAGATAAGGTCCAACCCAGAACTGAGCCCACTTTTGTCTTTATAATTATAAGTTACTATGACTATACATCATGAAGGCCTATATTGTACTATATGAGCGCCTTCGAAAATGGCACATGGCTGTCAGGCAAGGGATGACCCTACACTCAATGCTCTATGTTGCAAAAACAGAGCTACGTACCTAAAATCAACTGCACTGTAAGATAAAGATCTGTTACACCCTGAACTCTAGCAAAGGTACGCAGAAAAATACCCTGCCAAAATTCCAACCCCAATTTTTGCCTACTATTTTTAAGTAAGTTGCTTTCATAAACTTACCTATAGCTTATTGTCTCCCGAAATCAAGCACTTTATTCTGCACAACTCGACCAACTGTTAATGTGCAAAATTCTCTTCACTAGTTTGCACCTTCACAAAATCACGGAGCATTGAGACTGATAAAAATCTATATATATGCGAGGCATCATGGTGAAATCAAGTGCTCATCAAATAATGAAATCACAGAAAATTGTATTTTTCTGTCCGTTTGGCAATTTTTATCGAATTTTTGGTTTTTGACTCAGTACCGGCACCTTTACGGTCCATTTAAAAACACCTCTATCTGTATGGATTTTACTGAAAAATTATCTAAGGCACAAGAATATAAATTTGCAGTTTCTAAGAACTCTCACTCTCTTTGAAATGAAAGTCGCCAAACATTAGCAGCTATTTTCTCGCTAATTTTACCTCTGAAACCAGGCAACCCGCATCTCCTTCGATCGCAAATATCGCGACTTCTATTCATGATATCTGAGTACATGTATTTTTTTCACCGAAAGCAAAACAAATAAACAAGCTATAAAATGATACCAAAGACTCCACATTTCCAAAAATTGACGAGAGCCTGATTCCACGGCATTATGACACATCATATACGTGTTCAGGCTGCAGTCTATGGGAGGAACGATGGAGAAACTCCTCGCAGACTGGAGGGAGGGCTAGCATGACCATAACTAACCTTATTTCTTACGTTTCGTCTGTTGGAACGTGGTCTCCGTTGATGATGATCCCAACAGGAGGAACCAAGATTCCTTTGTCAGATCAACCTAATTTTCGTCTGTAAGAAGGAAACCTTGTACACTGGGTGTTTTTACACCCCCATTGACACAATTTAGATCATTTAGGAGGCAGGCTTCTGACCCTGCCTGCAATGCCAAGGAGAATATAAATAACATCCCAGAAGAAAGACAAAGATACTCATTAAAATTTTCTCCCTGCTCAGGAATCACTTAAGGCAGGTCTTCCTGCAACAGCAAAGCGCCTAACCTCTTCACCCCAGATGCCAGTGACACATCAGTTCAGTCAACATTCCATCCTCCAGAAAATTCGTACAGTACGGTACAGTGCAACCTCTCTATAACGACCTTCAATATAACAACCTCTGTATAATATAGCGACTTCGTGCCCAGGTCACGATTTTTCATTAGCAATATTTTTGGATGCCTCTCTGAAACGACAACTCTCTATAACGACATTTTTTTCTGATCCTGACAATGTCGATATAGAGATACTACACTGTATAAAATACTTCGTCTTTGGAGTAGCCTACATGTACACAAAAAAATTTTGTGCAGATTTTTTTATAAAAAGGCAAACTAACATAATAGTATTTAATAGCAGGGCATAACATTGATGCCTGGAAAGCAAATAGGCTTGAACAAGAAGATAAATAAAAAGGATTTACCATTACTCCAACAGGAGTCCAACCCCCCCACTTCACTTAGTTGCAAGGTTCCAATACAAGTTTATCCGGGCATTTTCCATTTGACTGATATCCCAGCTTTTAAAAGTCCTAACACATCTTTCCTCAACATCGTAGCCAGTTTCATGCCATACTGCTGTCTGGCTTGTGAACATGTTGACTGGAACCTAGCATATCAAATTGTTAGTTTTAGTAGAGGGCTTTACGGCGCTCGCAACTGCATAAGGTCATATGAGTGCCAGAAGATTGGAGGTGTTACAAGAGAGTAACAAACATAAAAAAGAAGCAGGGGAGATAATGACGATAGATGTTTGATAGGAAAAATTGCTCTCAAGAAATCTCTAGTCACTGTACAGTAAACATGTACAATTTAAGCTGCTCTAAATTCTGCACCAAGAATGCTGTCAGCTGTGACAGAGGACTTGTTAACACAGTTACATGTACTGAGACAAATAAATAAAAAAGAAGGTACCAATGCAATGAAGAATTATTTGTTCCACATTTTATTTATTTTATCACGCTCAAGATCTTCCATGAGAAGATTTTTACCACAAAAGACAAATAAACATAACTACATAATACATAAGTGGAACAACAGTGAAACTCAAATAGCTGGAAGAAAAGTAATATATTGATTCATTCAATGAGCATATATATATTTCATTCTGTACAAGAAAATAACGACTTCAATTCTTACGAAGATTGTTTGGGTTTTTTCACCCACGACAAGTCCGCTCAATTTTGTTCCAACTTTGTTCTCAACACAGAAAACGCAAGTATGACAAACAACAGAGAAGGGTGGTGAAACTGAAAATAACACCTTAGTGTGTGAGTGAGACAGTGGTGGACTTCCAAAACAAACAAAGCGAAGTGTTGACATCACAAACAGGAGCAAAAAATTGGCCAACAACAAATTCCTAACTAAACTGAACATTCAACACGTTTCTGCAGTCCTCAACTATCCAGAACATTTTCAGGGTAGACACGAGTCTTCTCTGTAATTTACTTGTTCCAAATTCACTTCAATTTGCATTCCAAGTTCATCACCATATTTTATACAAACCATCTACCCGGCATGTGTAACAGAAATAATCTACAAAATATATATAATATAACATATATCAACCAAAAAGAAAAAGCATATGAAATCATTTATATGACCAAGCTGTCAAAAGTCCTTCCAATCCAGTTCTTCAACATGTGCCTGTGCAACAGGTTTCTACGTTGAACAGAGACGAATGACTTTGTTGGTGACAATGAGGAAGTCCTCGTCTTGCAGTTCCCTGAGAGCATCGTCGAACATCTCCTTGGTGATTGGCTGTGGAAGGAGGGAAACAAATGCCAATGAATACCTTGCTCATACAGTGGAGTCCACTTATAATGAGTCCTGAAATAACGAGAAGTCTGTTATAAAGACACTATTCTAAAACCCCGTTTTTTCCCCTTATTTATCTTTGTAAATAAAGTACTGCTATTGCGCAATCAGTCACGCGGGTTGGTTATAACGGAATATTGCTGCTGCTGTGCATAGCGCACAGACCTATGACACATATAAAACTTCGCCAGGTGAGAAAGTTGGTGATCCAGCGAAACAGAAAGGGAGAACCCACGGGAACAAACAATGATTACAATGACGGCTGGAGTGAATGAGTGGGGAGGGTGTGGCAGAGGCAGACAAGCAGAACGCATCGCGTGATAGGCCAGCCCAGTCTAGATTATTTAGGCATACCATGCCTCTCACTTCTCTGGTGCGGAATGGAGAGGTCACAAGGCTGTGATAGATGGTGTGAAGCGCAAGCAGACGCAACGTACCACAGGGTGTGGTGGGGTGGGGGACAACCCCCGGCGAGTTAGCCTAAAGCCAGAGCCCCTTCTTTCGGATCGCTAAGGCCGAGCTGTCAACATTGCTAGTGCTAGAAAAAAAAACTGATTCGATTTTTGATCAAGACCTAGAGATCATGTTGTACAAAATTGTCATCAGGGGAAATACAAAAAGGAATAAACAGAACACCAAACTCATAGATTAGGCCTACTTTACTATTTCCCTTGAATTTATTACTAGATCCCTTATAATGAGTATCCTGCTATAACAGACATTTCGCACCGGTCCCCTCCCTCTCGTTATAACAGGATTCCACTGTATTTTAAAGACAAATCTTGGAAAAAGATTAACCTGTTTTTTCCTCAAATGTCACATAGTTAAAAAATCAAGCGAACAAAATATGCTTTCCCAGTTCAGCCAAGGGTGAATACCTAATTGAAGATTGCTGATTTCAATTTTCTCAAATGTTTTATAACTGCATGAAGATTTTTAAAAATATTTTTGTTTGGTAAATGGCCTGCAGAAGTGCCATACAAAGTTTCCTGGGCAATTGGTAAATTAATAAATAAGCTTGAAATTTATTTTATTTAAGCAAACAGACAAAAGTGAAAAACTTTTGGTCTAAATATCTATATTTTACTTAATTATTATGATACTGGCTTGCAAATGTCTCAAACATCCCTAGATTTACGTACTTTTTATAATAAATGAAGTGAAAATACCGTGGGCCTCTAGTAGGTCACCAAACTGGGAGTAATTTTTCATCTAAACTCCTGCCATATTTCTGAAATCCTCATTTTGGGAAAATGACTGAACTGCGGCTTCAAACAAGAATTTATACTGCACTAGTAGTTTGTCATATTGGGAAAAAATGCGAAAACCTGATCTCGTCTATCTTCTAAATCAAAGCCGAGTTAAAATCACGTTTATTTTCATGATGAAAGCTCGGTGAGTTAAACTTCAAAAAATAAAAGCTACAAAAAAGGCTCACTGGAGGAAACAAAACTGTGTCGAACTATTAAAATTTTTACTTATTATTTGCTACCATTAATTAATTTATCGTAGTGTTTAGTAGATATTTAAACAATGTAAGTACAGCTATTGGACACTTTGGTATGAGTCCAAAGTAGTGTCAGTATGGTAACATACAGTGGAACTCGGATTCAACGAGGTCGCCGGGCCTGATCAAAAGTATCGTTGAATCCGAGTGTTCGTTACAGCAAACATGAGGTTTTGTGTAGATAATTACAGTCACTGAGCAAGTAATGTATAAAGAGAAGTCACAAATAGGGCCTGAAATGCCCGCATATTATGAGCTGAGTAAAAAAAAAGAAGACCGATTCGTTCAAATGCATTCCTGTGTCATTTCGATCGTTTACCACAAAGTTGTGTTGCTGTGTAGATCCTAGCATAACGGCAACTTTTGATTTCATAGACAAGCGCACAATTCATTACGAAGATCTACGTCAGGACTAGTTTATCATTGTAATAATGATCAGTTGCCGAGGGGGAAAAAAAGACCGTGACGCGTTTGTATCTGCGACGTTCAACGCCCGGATCGCTAGTGCGCCCCCCACCCTCCCCGACACACACACACAGCCACACGTGTGCAGGCCGCCCATCCGACTCCGACACACGCCAGAGTAGACACGTTCGCGAGCCAACAATGCATGTGTTGGTATGAAAAAAAAGGCCGTCGATTGGTCGCATGCAATCGGTTAAGTGAATAATGTTTCACGATACAGTTGCAATGAATGGTTTCCGGGAATAGATAAAGTTCGTTCTGGGAGAAAAATGAGCGAAGCCACTTCTGCAGGGGCTGTTCACCCTGGAAGCCACCTCGTTGAATCCGAGCTCGCTGATTTAAGTGCTCGTTGAATCTGGGTTATTTTTATTGATTTTAAAGAAGAAAAAAAAACGGGGAATCTATCTCTTCTCGTTGAATCCGAGCTCGTTAAATCCGAGTTCCACTGTACTTAACATGGAATGACTTCTCAGAGTTTTGACAGCCAAGATAAATGTAGTAAGCAACAAATACTAGAAATACTGAAAACCATTGAGAAAAAACTTGCTACAGACTGAAAGGTAAAAGCCAAGGTCTTAGCTTCATTTCTGTCCTATTTCTTGAAAATTAAAGGTAGAGTGGTACAAAAACTTACAAAATCTGAAGTCTCCTTGAAGTCATCGTACAACTTTTGATGTTTCAGAGTGGGCACTTTGCCCTTGGCTTGGATAAGTTTCTTCAGGGCAGCTGCCACCTCAGCCTTCCTCTTTCGAGCCGCTCCGCTCATGCCAGTTGTCAGAATGGTGATGTCAATTTTGCCAGTAGAAGGATCAACGGCTGCTTGCTTCAGGGCTTCTTTGTAGAGTCTGCCAGAAAATAGCATTGCTAATGTTTAGTAGTGTCTAAATTGAGGGGAGGGGAGAGAGACGTGTGTGAGTGTGTGTATGTGTTCGTCTTACTATTCAACAAGCTGACCATAAATTACCAGAGATAAAATTAGCATTAGAGCTATTTCATTGATAAATGGCACCTTTATTTTGTGTCCCTTTTCAACTTCCAAATTGATCTGCTGTTTCATATATCAAACTATAGACTATTTTCTTTTCCTTGAGGCAATTATGAATGAGCACTGCACTGTTGGCTTAGTGTCTTGTCATGTTAATTGGGAGTCATCAATCCTCTTCTTTCCAGTTACTATAGGGGTTTTTTTTTTTGTTTTTACACTCCATTTTTTTCTTTACCTTCTCGCCTCTTCTACATCTGCAACATCCACAGTGTCCGACAGCCTCATTCTGGCGTGAGCCTCTGCCAGTCTAATCAAAGACTCCAGCTGTCTTGGGTACGCAGATACTTGACCCCTGGAGCTGCCGACTTTTCTCATTTCAACATAGGCCTGGATAAACGCTTGTCCTGCCTCTTCTCCAATCTTGGGATGAACAAATCCCTTGGCGTACATCAGGTAGTCCTTCAGTATGCTCATGTCCTGTTAAGAACAAACCACAATATTACTTCATGTCTTTCAAAGCTGAAAGTTTTTTTTTTTACTTCTACTTCGGCTCTATAACAAAACCAAGGATAATTATACTTGAACAAACTTACCACCAACTTTTAAAATAAACTAGACACACATTCAAACATAATATTCAGGATGTAATCTAGATGATGAACATAAGACGGGTCCATTTAATTGCAAAGCAGAATAAAAAAGTCACTTCAATCTCCAATTGCTCTTAATTTCACTAAAGTGAAAAGTTTCAAACTTATTTTCCAACTACAGCTTTACAATTGCATCTTTGGAGAGGTCTTGCCAAAGGGAATAAAAGTAAAGTCCTGACTAAGGTAAGATATCACATACCTCTTATCAATAGTCACAAATGAGGTAGGCAAAATTTCAAATATTTATCAGGATCAAACTTTTAACGTCTGAGTATTGAGTATTTTCAAAATCAAAATGAAGCGAACATGAGCACACACATAGGACTTAAAAACAACTCAAATGATTGAATAAGAATTTGTTCCTGAAAAAGAAGTACAGTAAATCCATTTACAACAACTACACATACCAAATTTGCTTCTTCCTCCTCCTCATGACTTCTAAAGTACAAAGAAACCAAATGGCTGGCAAGTCTTCTGTCGTACATCTCATCTTGTGGGTCAAGGATGAGGAAAATCAGATCAAACCTGTACAATCACAGAAGTAGATGAAAATGTTACACAGAGTAAAGGACACTATAAACTGAACTAACAAGGGTGCAGATCAGATACCAATGAAAAATGTAATCTATCTCAAACATAAATTTTATACTTTCCTTTCATCCAAATCACAACCGTGCCCAAGAGGAGATGAGTACAGAACATTTAACAAATGTGGACAGGAAAAGATTTTTTCAACACTTTCAAAACGTAGATGAAAAAAATACTTGACTTGAAAAGTATCAAGTTTGCAATCTTATGCTCAACTTATGATAGGTGTCAAGACAACAGATATAATTGAATACAAATAGTTCAGTCAGCACATTGTAGAACAAAACCATGGATTTAAAGACTACCCTCATAAATCCATCTTCAAATTTTGACTGATTCATTTTAATTTATATCTCCAATAGGAAGCAGTCTACACAATACCGTAGTATAGTCAGTAATCTTACAAAACAAGATTACAACAAAACCAATTACTATAGGCTAGCCTAGCTCTAACCAAAGAGGCTCTTTACCTGGAGAGAAGTGTATGTGGCAACTGGATATTTTCTGTGATGGTTCTGTTCTTGTTCCACTGGGACTCCACAGGATTTGCTGCTGCTAAGATGGAGGTCCGAGCATTTAGGGAGCAAATAATACCCGCCTTTGCAATAGACAATGTTTGTTGTTCCTATATCAGAAAAAAAAGTGTATCAAGACAATGTAACTTCATAATATGCATAAATTTGTCAGCTGACTGATGGCAGGTAATGATGATCAAAAAATTGTTTTATCTAAAAAAATTTAAAGCACATGGAGATCCTGGATAAAATATCTTTTCCATAGGAAAGTGAACTCGCTTCCTTTGCGTCTAAGGTGAAGAATCTAACCATTCCAACTTCGTTATTTGAGAGATAAAGTAAGGACTGAGAGCATCAGTAATCATTCAATTCCTTCAACATCCAGAAGAATCATGACAGCAGAAGAACCAAGCAAACATGAAAACTCGATACACTCCATATCAAAAGACAGCTCAAGGAAGCTGTTCAAGATATTCAGTAGTACTCCGTTGAAAGCATACATACATTCATTTACACCATGCAGACAAAGGAACTAAAGAGAAAAACAAACAAACACATTTTGCTCAAATATTAGCTCAGAAGACATGACAAAAGGAATTACTCAGCTGCCAATAGGCAAAGTCAACTCACCATGACTTCATGTAAAACTGAACGTGTGCTGTCATTCATCTTGTCAAACTCATCAATACAGCACACACCATTGTCACTTAGCACAAGAGCTCCACTGTAAAGAAAAATTATCAACGTTGTAGTCATTGTATAAAAACTGTCCAAATATGCAGTCATATAGCAGTAAATTTCAGGTCATTATAGGAAGACCCACTGAACAACTAAATCAAGTTAGCAAAGTAGAATAGATTGCTATTAGTAGATTTTCATGTATTGGGAAAATCCAGCCATTCTGACTTTACATTACCACATGGAGGGTTAAAACCTCCCTCAGTCAGCAGCTGCATCTAAAATCCTTTCATTTTTCTTTTATAAATTCTTACAAATGACAGCAAAAAACATAATGCAATCTTTCCTTCATACACACTTTTCATTGATCTATCATGCAGCTGACAGTGAAAGACTACATGGATTAACTCACTTTGGTTAAGTAAAGTATCTTTAAGCCTCCTAGCAGTTTGACAAAGCAATCCTAATATTCCTGAGTGCAGTATTGCAACACGTCAAAATGTCTGATACTCAAAACATACGCACAAAAACATCTTACGTTTGCAACACCAGCTGTCTTGTTTCCGGATCTTTTGTGACATAAGCAGTGAGACCGACTGCACTGGAGCCTTTCCCTGAGGTGTATTGTCCACGAGGGACCAGGTTGTGGACGTACTGGAGAAGTTGCGACTTGCTGGTTCCGGGGTCTCCACACAGCAAGATGTTCAGCTCTGACCTTGTGTGTGTAAAGAAAACGAATAGTTAAAAAAACAAGGCAAAATAATCCTTTGCCGAGGACAACAATCAACATGAGGGGAAAAAAACCAACAGCTGTATAATAGCTTTTAAGCCTGTCTTTATAGTAGTAGCCACATTTCCCAAAAGGCTTTAAAATAGTAGCACTATGAACAAATATAAGCAGAGTACCCAAAAATCAACTCAATACATTTAAGAACGACAGAAGTCAAACGTTTAAAAAATGGTTTCAAAAAAAGGAACACAACATGAACGACAACAGTGACTTCGTAACGGCAGAAAAGTACAGGATTATTTTTTTTTTTTTTAATTGAAGATTTCACAAATAAAAAACCCATTAAATTAGAACAATCATCAAACAAAGGGCTCCAACAAAAATTTGGGACCTGTATTTAAGTTTTCTACATTCTGCAAAGTATACCTGAATTTGCCCCTTCCAGTATTGCTGAAATCCTTTCTGTTTCCACCAAAAAGCTGAAGCAAAATTCCTTTCTTGATGTCCTCATTTTCATAAATGCTTGGAGCTGAGGACAAATAACAAGGTATCTCAACGCATGTTGAACCAGTCAAAAATCAAATCCCTTTGTTCCCTCATATAAAGAATGTAAACTATAGTATATTGAATGTAATATATAAACTGATCTTATAGAATAGATAAATGAAGGTAATATGTGTCATGGCGCAATGGAATTAGGACTAGGAAAGCTTGACGCGATGTTTGAGGATTTTTTTTTTTAAAAAGATAAAACGAGCACACACGCGCACACTCAATGCTGTGTGTGCGTGTGTGTGTATGTTTTATCATTATTTTTATTTTTTTTATATCCTGAAGTATCATGTCAAGCTCTCCTAGTCCTTAAAGTTTAACACCCCATCATCGGAGTATTCCAAGGCCTGAGGGCCAACAAAAGTGAAAGTAGATCTTGAGAATGTTCCTAATCGGAATGTCAAATCAATACTACTTCCATTATATTTGAAATAACATGTGTGAGCAAAGATCCAACACAACTTGAGGTGAGTCTACTAAATTTGGCATCAAAATTTCGGAAAATAGTGCTCAGAGTTCCTTCTGATAAAAAGTTCATGGGTGTCTCCCGCGACAGAGAAGGCAGAGTGAGATTTTATAAAAATCCAGCGCAACAGACACAACAAAAAAATCGAGAAACACACAATCAAAATCGGAATGCTTGTGTTTTCGGGCAAAAAATCGGGCTATCCCGATCAAATCGGTATAAGCGGCAGGTCTGATAAAATCCATACATTTGTGTTTGAATGGGCATGAAAGGTGATGAGCCAAAAAAACAAAAATTCAATAGAATTTGCAATTCGGGACGAAAAAAGCCTGATTTCTTCAATTTCATTATTTTGACGGGCACCTGATTTCACCATGATGCCTTAGATATGTAGCCTTGCAATCTTTTTTTTTTTTAACCTTCACCATAGTAACACACCGATTTTGTTAAAAAGAAAATACTCACCAATTGCTCTAGCTAATCTTTCATAAATATCCGACTTCTTAGCCAAAGTCTTCACCATTTCAATTCTTTCCTCTGTCATTTGAACTTGTTTCCTGAGAAAATCAAGAAAAATGAAAATATATTGTAGTAACATTCAAGAGACTCCGAAAGCTTTTACTGCTTAACAGTCTCTTGACAACAATTGTAACAAAATTTTATCTGAAATTTCTCATTTTTCAGTCCCAGATGAATATGTCTGCCTCAAAGCAAAGCATATTCAGTAATTCAATGCAACGAATTATTTTTTAATTTTTACAAACATTTTAATTCCCACTTGAAAAATTCACTTTAACTCCGGACGTATTGCCGATATATCGGTGTGAGTCCACACCCATTGCGGACGTATCGCCTATATATTGGCTGTGATAGGGTGCCTCAGTATTGTTTCATTTTAACATGATCCGTCATTTATAATTACTTTTTATTGTTTTTGAAAACTTGGAAAGGATCTAGGAAACGAAAACATCTAGTTTCACTTTGTCAAAGTGTGGGTTTGATGAAAAACGAGTGAATTAGTTATTGCGGTCTTGCATCAACAAAATGATGTAACCAGACTGTATAAATATCATAACTAAAGACAAAAATTGGAATATTGCTTTCAAATAAAAAACTACGCATTCAGAAATTCACGGATTATGCTCTTGGCCTGTATATAAGAGAGCTGTGCTGATTTGCTTTCACATGTTTGGTGAAAGTAATTTTTCCGTCAAAATGTATTTTTCTCATCACCATCACCATCACCAGTCTAACCCTTGTAAGGCATACTTATGTTCAAAATTAATCCTCGTTTCATGTAGGAATGTATTCCTCATTCGATTTCCTTCAAATCGATATATATGTTACGTTTTGAGTAATGGTTATGATTATATTATTTTGTACACCACATGAGTAGCCAAATCGAGTTACAAGTTAATTACGTCTAGACCCCCCTCCCCCCAAAAAAACTACGTCAGGAAAGAGTTACAGGATGCCCCGTGGAGACAATCTAAGCTCAAGATACAACGCAAAAGCAACATAAACATAGAGAGTATTGTCCTAAAACAAAAAGTATTCTCACCCCTCATCTGTTGCCTCAGCAAGTCTCTTTGTATCCAATTTCCTGAAATGCACTACATCAATGTGTGTCTTGTAGACAGACTTCACGTTGCGCTGACGAGGGTTGACACGCAGAGGAACAGCACGATAGATGCCTGTGATTGTGACGCGGTCACCAGGTTGGACCCGATCCACCAGGTCATTGTGAGCGTAGATGATGATGGTGTGGGGAGTCTGGCCAGGGGGCATGTCCTCTGTCGTAGGAAATAAAACAAAAAGCATGAGGGACTGCTTTATTCCAAACTATCATGCAATCTTTTTCTATGCTTTACACCCCACCCTATTCATCACCTGTTTGATTTGTTTGAATAATAAAAGCACAATAACACAAAAATGGTAATGTAGTACAGGAAAAAACAATTTAATTTTTTTTTTTTTAAAGGAAAATGAGAAGAGGAACCAACCAGTAACACTCAACCACCTGTACTGCATCACAAGATTTTTCCCTAAGCAAACACATCATTTTATTAAGTAAATCCACAACAAGTAAGACAAACACATCATCGACATTTGAACAACACAATTACACAACTTGGCAGGAGAGCCCGTCTCTCAAATATATCTTACCTGGAGATTCCTGCATCTTGACCATTTGCTTGTCTGAGAACTGAGATCTATTGTGGATCATCTGATAAGAAAATTTTGTGTTGCAGTTAGTGCACAGCGTCGGCTCAGCAATGCGGCCTCTGTCAATCTCCACTGAAGTTGTATTCTGGCAAACATGGCATTGAAAAAATGCTTCTCTCATTTCAGGAATCAGGGACGATGTACGGATAACCATGCCACAGATGGTGATCAACTGGTCAATATCTGTAACACAAGGAGGAAAATAAAATCTACATTAAATAAAAATTGCATCTGTTTCTAAACCTATAGAAAAGAACTGGAGCACTTAAAATCATGTAGGTCAAAATGAGGCACTCAATGTAAATCGCAACCAGAACTAACTAAAAAATCTACAAAGAAGAATCGAGGCAAAATAAACGCCATGTCACTGCATTAACTTTCGTTTGAAACAAAAAAAGGATCAAAGAAACTATTTTATGTAAATAAGGGTCACTATCTGTAAGGATTTGAGACATCTCAGTTACAACAGCTGGAGAGACTGGCCAAGCAAGAGAGTGGCGACTGTAGAGAGATTGTTGGTGGCCTATGCTGCGCAAGTGGCCAAAAGCAGAGGAACAGTGAGTGCAAAAAGGAAAACAGTAGAGCTAAACATTTACAAACCCATTACTTCAACTTCAAATAAGACACATATTTCCCTACAGACACCCATCCAACATAAAAGATTTACCACAGCAAAAATGAGAAACAACAATTAACCATATTTACCTTCTGGGTTTAGTGATCGCATATTTTTGGTAAACTCTGCATTGTATGGCCTGACTTGAATCTGATGCTCCAGAGTGGCATTAGGAAATCTTTCAAAGAACATCTCATTGACTGCCATGTCAAAAGTTGGAATGACTTCTTGTGGGTAGCAGACCAGCTGGCGGTAAAGGTCACCATCAAACTCACGTAAGTGACCACAGTTTACGTTCAGGAACGGGTCACCAATGACATTGATCTGGCAAAATTTAAGAGAAACAAATACAATTTTAGTAATCAGTGAAAAAAGAAGTTCAACAACAAAGCTTTCTACAACTAGGACACAATGCTCTACCATTAACAACAAAGCCAGTATCTCCTTGCATTTCCTCAATGTTCATATTTTACTTTTAGATATATCAAAATTGCCAGAATAGGTCTCATCGGCCATAGCAGAAGCTATAAGTCATCTTAAACTTAAAATTTTATTAATTCTTCTACTTGACGTAAGAAATATTCCCCTCTGCAAATGTATTGGTATCGCCAGACATTGACAAACTTATTATTATTAAAATTAAAGTCTATAATAACTTTCCACCCGATGCGCAGGACCCAATGACTAGCATTACATAGACGTTCATTTCAATTGCACAAAATACTTCTTAACCAACATAAACAACGGTACTGTACTTTTTGCGACATTTAACTCTGAGGACTCCCAATCTCGTCATTTTATTTTAAGGTACTTAAAAAAGAGAAGAAAAGCTTGTTAACTCATGCAGATTTTTAAATTTCGAATACCTATGTTTAAGCTGTCAAAATTATGATATAAACGACAGAAAACATTTTCAGCCTCTCTTCAGCCTTGACTCACCTCATCAAGTCTCTGCAAGTAATACGGCTGTGCAGCATCAATTCCAGCAAACTGCTCATCGTCCGCAATGCTTGTGTCTACATAGCGAGAAATAAATGAGCGGAACTTTTCCTTGCACTGGCTCACCACAACATCTGTTCCCCAGATAACTAACTGAGGTCCAACCGGAGCTGCTTCACTGACTGCATCACTACGGTCCGTTTCCTGGAACATGATGGGGGGAGGGGAGCCAAAGCGAGAATTATATTAACCAAATTCTGAATCTGCAAAGCACAGTCACAAGGTTTACAACTGGGGTTTATATTTTCTATGGACACTGCCATACTGTTTTATTTATAATTAATTCACAATAATCACATGAAAAGACTAAATCAGGAAAGTCATGACCCCCAAAAAACATTCAAAATTAGGTACTTTCCTATTCAATATTCCACGAACATGATGAGTAAAAGTAAAAGCTTTTGTCACATTCTATTCCATTCAGTTTATTCTATTGGTTGTAACAGCTTTATCTCATTCACTGAGAAACATGGCCATAATTAAGCAAGCATAGTTTATTGCCAATTGCTTTTCATGCTGACTTACTTCACATGATCTTTATTAAAGAAATTTTATATAAACTAGCATGTTTTACAACATCTCAAATGAAACAAAGGACAGTGTACCGTACCTGTACACCATTGTCAGTTCATTACAACACAAAAGGGCATATCAAAAGTGACTTAATTAAAAAGGATTATAATGAAATGAGTCCCATTCTCCATAGGCTCTTTTTAATTTTGTTGCAAAATAAATATTTTTTTAAAATTAATAAACAAACCCATGGCCGCACTTTGCTCAAAATCAACTGCAATCATGCGTAATACACAGACACTTGTTCTCATATATCAGCATCTGGCACTCACCGATGGAGGTTCTGAACCGCCCACAGCCACTTGTCTGAGCCTTCTATCACTTCGAACATCGGGACGATGCCTTATGGGAGTAGCTCCAGCAGCAGGCGTGCCAGCCAGAGTGCTTTGTGACCCAGGAGTTCCATAGTTCAAGGGTGAACTCAGGTCTATCTCACTGGCTGGAGCTGTGCACGTGTTTGAAATTAAAATAGAAATAGTTTGGTCTTTTTCAAAGTAAACATGCAACTAAAGATTTCTCCATTTATGGCGTTCATTTTCATTATTCTTCGCAAGTCTAGTTTTAAAGTTCATAATTTTTCTTCAGCTTCAGCAAGTTTATGAGGGAAAAAACTAGAAAAATGAATAAAAGTATGTTCCAATACCAAAACGGGCTGCCATACTGCCCATACTCGGATCCTCAAAAAAGTACTTTAAATACCCTTTTTAAGTACTGGTTAGCAGCAATGCATAAGTCTAGAAATCGCTCCAGTAAGAGAGGTGAGATAATTATCAGATCCTTACCTCCTCTTGGGCTTGTCAGCAGAGAGTCATCCCCCTCAGTGCCTCCAGTGAGAGAAGAGTCTAAAGGACCTACGTCATTTAATGGGGACGATTCTTCAATTCTTCGTCGCTGAGATGGCGGAGAAGACAAATCTCCATCTCCAGCCCCATTCCTTGAAGATCTCTTTGAACTTGATCGGGTAGCTGGTAGATATACACAAGATCATGAAGGTACAAAGAAACAAAATAATGAAGCTATCATTAACGATCCTAACCTTACACAAAAACCAAAATAGAAATAAAAGTATCTCACTACTCTTGACACATTCATAACAATTAAAGCTTGTTAATTACTATCATAATGTATTAGCACTTGTGCGCAAAAAACATTTTAAATTTCCTAAAAATGCTTACAGCAAAGATATCAAAAATTACCCACGGACTTCATTATCTAGTAACAAAAAACTTACGGGTATTGACAGATGATCTTGTGGAGCGTCTTGAAGCTGAAAAATAAGAATAAATGCACTTCATTATATTATAAAGAAGCATGATAAATTTTTCACCCGCACCCTTTTTCCCTGTAATTACTTCATCAAAAACACATAAGGACTAAAATTAATGAGAGATGACTTCTTAAGTCCCCCCAAAAAATGTATAGAATGGTGAACCTGAGTTTTCAAAGGTTTTAAAACAATACCTCTTTATATGTGTTACAGCTTGTTCACTTTCGTTTGACCGTCAAAACAAGATAAAATCAATCACTCTAATCTTCTCGGATCTATGCATATGGGTCTAAAAATTAGATAGAATCTTTCGAGACTCACATAAAAGACATTTAATTTATACAGTCCAGGATGAAATCTACATGCTTACAATGAAATGTGGGGACAGGGTGGTGTCACTCAACTGCCACTGTCTCAAAATGAGCAGTTTGTAGGCTATGTTACTCAAACTGTAAATCATTTTTACTGATCCGGTGTATGCACCCAAAGAGTGGCTTTTAATATTGTGGATACTTGGCCACTTTTCGCCAGTTATCAAGATTTACTTGTGGCGCGGGGATCTCGTACGGAGCACGGGAATCTAGTGCTGGGGCTTATATCGGTCACTCAGTTTGTGAGGGGACAGTCGGACGATAGAGAGAGGAAGGGACAGAGCCAAGGTCTACACACTTTGCAGGAAATCTACTATGCACTACACTTGCTGTAATAAAGTTTCAAGGACTTACGGTGAGAGCTACGCATTTGTTATTTCAAATTGTTTAAATGAGGTAGTGCTGTGTTCCGCAACAAATATAAGGCCCAAATAGAGAAACATTTATTACTGGATAAAGATTTTTTTTTTTTTTATATTTGTTTGGTCACTGGCCTGCAAAAGTGTCATGCTAAGTTTCTTGAGCAGTCAAATTAATAAATCAGCTAGATTTTTTTTAAACGCTGAGAGATGAAAGTGAACACGATATAATTTGTTAGTGTATGGTGTGTTTGAGTTATGATTATCATGGTAAAGTACTTTTCAAAAACCAATGGGTTACAAAGGTAACCAAATCCCGAGATAAACTATTTCCTCAAAGTAGACATAATTAATGTATGGAACATCCACAGTTATCAGTCCATTAGTGAGCATTCCAACCCATTTGGTAACATTCTTTTTATGCATGCAAGATAAATTTTGAAACAAACATTCATGAATGAGTATGTTATAATGTAAGTTAGGGATAGGGCTGAGGGTATGCTTTGTGCACTAGAAGTGATGTTCTGAGCTTCCTTTAAAGACTTTACCTCCTAAGCCTAACAGTATGGTCATAGACCAAAACTACCTAAATTAACAATGTCTTTAAGAACAAATAGGCCTAAAATGTAACTTACGAGTATCTGGATTTGTACTTTCAGGACTGCCAGCTTCTGATCCTCGACCTCGCTTGCTCCTGCGACTAGGAGTTCCTGGGCTCTTGGGTGAAGACATGGCTGTCTTGACTGCTTACACACCTGTCTACCTCTGAAATGAGAACAAAATATTACAATGATCACAAGCTGCCAAGAGGGCCTGAAAATAGCTAAAGTGCAAGTTGAGAGGATGACAAGTAGGCTATAATAATAATGGTAAGATTGAAGAATACCGGACCAGCGGACTGACTTTGCCTATGTCTCAACCTTAGGAATTCATAATTTTCCCGTTTTTAATATCTCTCAATGGAGAATCTCGGACCGGTAGATCTATTCATTAAAATTTTGTCAGGGGGGAGACCCCCCTGAACCCCCCCCCCCCCCCTCTGCCCCAACCACCCCACTTTCTCGCGCAATAATGTACGAGTGGTCCAGATTCTTCAATCTTCCCATAATAATTAGTCTACACAATTGTGACTAGTTTCAGAAACAATATGAAAACATAGTAAATAACAGATGCCTACCAGTTAGGCTTGCTTTCGCAGCTTGTAAAGAACACCAACTGGCCACCACACGCACTATAGAAAATCAAGGGTGCTTTTTCGGTAGTTCCCAGTGGGATCTAGATCTAGATCTAGATCTAAGGCTCTAAGGCAAGGTCTACCTAAAAAGCGCCAAATCAAGAGCCAACGCAGATTCTCTAGCCGGAAAAGGACTTCCGTAATGAGCGACCACCCTATCAAACACAATAAAGAAGGAAAGTGGCTATTCTCACCCGCCCGGAAGTTCTCGCAAGATCTACTCCTCCCCTCTTCTCTCTCTCTCTGTCTCTTTCTGAATACTGTCTATTATCGGTGTGGACGATCAAATTGACCAAAACAAAGTTAAAAATTGATGTTAAAACACAAAAGTAAATTAATTTGGTTGTCTACAAAGATGCTACGGCTATTTAACTTTTCGAATCGAGCCGAACTACGCGGGTCGCCATTTTGTTTTGTTCTCTCTCTCACTCTCTCTCTCTCCCCTGCCCACAGACAAAATTGTACGCTTTTAGTAGGCTACACCACAAGTACAGTTGTAATGGAACGTTTGTTCACAGCACAGAATTCTACAATTTTTCTCTTATCACAGTGTAGAATTCTGTGGTTTAGGGTGAACGCAAAATTTGTTGACACGAGCACCAGGTGAGAATAGCCACAAGACCCGCCTGCACTATTCTCACCCCGGGTGAGAATAGAGGTGGCCATAAAGAATAAAGAAGAGGCCTAACCCCAACCCAAACCCTACCACTACCCTTCTTCTAGATCTACCCCTAGATTCTACCCCTAGCCTTCCATTCGGCGATTGTTTAGATTCCCGCGTTTAATTCCGATGCGCGTTTTTCATACCCTCAGGCATATTTCGCTTTGGTCCCTAACCCTCCTAGGTTAGGGTTAGGGCCAGGGTTAGGGTTAGGGTTAGGGTTAGGGCCAGGGTTAGGGTTAGGCTTAGGGTTAGGGTTAGGGTTAAGGTTAGGGACCAAAGCGAAATATGCCTGAGGGTATGAAAAACGCACATCGGAATTAAACGCGGGAATCTAAACAATCGCCTTCAATTCTGCTCTGTCTCATAGTGGTCGCTCGTTACGGAAGTCCTCCCCTCTCTGTCTCTAGCTTGCCTTGATGCTGACACTGATAGATAAAATCTAAGACTGACTGAATTCAGTTTTTCTAAAAGTATCATAGGCCTAGATCATCCACACTTACCAATTTTTGATGGTCTGCAAAAAGGGGCGCTCGTGACCAATAACTGTCGCCACTTAAACCAGATATTAAGAATGTCTTGTCCAAGCTTTACTTCTTACTTCTTGATGCCGAAGACGACGCCAAACTAAGGAAGCAGAAATCTGACAGAAACCGCGCTTTTTCCCGCGATTTGTTCTAAAAATAGAATGCCGCGTAGTGCATAATAAATCAGCTAAATACTCAACTATCCTTACCTAGTTTTCAATCTACATCTTGATACTATATTTTCCTCCGAATTGTCCAATAATTACTAATGTCTATTTTATTTTTTTTATTTTGATCATAAGATTAATATTACTTCCTTGTTCGTACAAAATAAAGAATTAAATTTAAATTTATTTATTTACCGGTAATTGGCCTACTAGCTTCGAAACGATTCAGGCTCTTGCTAAAAAGTAGAAAATAGGATGTTCCCAAAACGTAAAGAAACAATATTATAAATTATGGCTTTTTACTTTTTATGGGGGGGGGGGTTGCAACACCCTTTTGGTTGTTTTGTTTGGGGGTTGTTGGGGGTTTTTTTAAGAGAGAGGGTGTAGCCTATTTATCATAAACATATCAGCTACTGACCCACATGTTCAGTTAAGTTGTGAAACCCCCTCCTTAAGCGGAGATGGATTTACGTTCATTTTTTTTTTTTAATTTTTTTGGGGGGGGAGGCAATCAAGAAGATAGAGGTTCAGGGGGAGGTGGGAATGAAAGTGTTATAGATAGCTACAAGGCTGCTGAAACAATATATTCGAAAGTAGCAACCCCCTTAATTATAGCCTAATAAATGATACATTTGTGGGCAAATAATGATTTAATTTTACATTCACTGCTAACATCGCCACTCTTTGGGTAACTTTTTGACTTTTGCTTTCCTTTGAGTTAGACCCTCTGCCAGTATCTCTGAAAATAAACGTATTGTTTTATGTTATCAACTCATTATTGTGAGTACGGTGATCTATGTCTTGCGGTTTGGGGTTTTATACTCCTCTTCCGAAACTGTAAGAAGCCCTTATATATTTATATATATACAAATCAATATTCAACTTGATTCACGGTACCGTGTAGTGTAGTAGGCTAAATAATTCCAGTTAAGTGGAATGTGTATACAACAGTACACGTATTTGCTATTGGCTATATTATGGGCTAATGTATTGATTAGGTTTCATTAATTATTTTTTTTGTTAGTCTTTAATTAAATAATTACACCTATAATTATCAACATACACTACAGCATCCCAGCCAGCATGATTATGGCGGCCCAAAGTCAATTTGATGTCGGACAAACTTAATGTCCGCTCCCGGCCCGC